ATGGCTGGTCCAGGACCAGCCGATACTTTCACCATTGATGGACGTAAGAGCCTTTCACCGAGCATGAACCCCTTCCTGTATTCTTCAAGGATGATCCCCTCTTCAAACTCCGTTGAATCTTCTCTCATGATCGCCTCATGTTGCTTTTTACATTCACCATAAAACAAAACAAAGGAACACTACATCTGTCAGAAATCAGGACAAGAATTGCAAAATCAAGAATCCAACCCTTTTGATGCAGGCCAAAAACTTTTCCTCGGAATCCATTGTCTTCTTAGGACACTATAAGGGAATCCATAGTTTTAGTTCCCTGAACTCATCTCGCCAAAATACAACTCACGAGAAAGCTCTAAGCTACGAGATCTATCATCCAAACATTCACATAATGAGGTTCTTGTATCATTATCTGATTCTTCCATCCATATGGCTATATATCTTGCCATGAAAGTGCCACTGCGTTTGATCAATTGCTAGAAACAATATCTAGGCTTCACTGGAGAAAAAGACAAAAACCATACCATTGGATCAAATTGCTTTCTGATTGTCTCCACAGGGACAACACCAAGTGAACCCAGAAGTTCTCCAAACTGTTTGTAAATGCTCTGATAGCTGTTAGTGATTCTCTCTTCCTCCTCAGTCTCCACCTTAATCTGGGCCTTAGCTCTCTCAAAATTATCCAGAACGGACAACAGATTCTCTACAACCTCGCCTTGAGCATTTGACACGAGGGAAAGCCGTTCCTTCTCCATCTTCTTCCGGAAATTGTCAAAATCGGCACTGACCCTAAGAACCCTGTCCCTCTCCACCGACAATTCATCAGACAAAGACGATGTTTTTTTCTCAAGCTGTGTCTTTGCATCCTCGATTGCCTTTAAAGATGCCTCTATCTCAGACACCTTGCCTTCATCGTTGTTAGCGAGAGCTTCTTTATACGATCGAAGCAATGCCATAACAACGGATGCTTCCGCTTCCTCAGCAGCGCTGGCACCTTCCCCCTCGACTCCAACAGCACCATCTACGTCCTGCACCTGCACCAACATTTTTCCCAGAAAAAAAAAGTTCATCAGGAGATGATCTAATTCATAGATTGGCGATAAACCAGAAGACGCGTGCATAAATATCAGTGTTTCATCAAACAGATAAATACTGGTATCGAGCCAGTCACGTAAATCATCTAATGTTCAGTCTCATGTTTTCCAGAATGCCATAGTCACCTATCTTTCTTAATATAACCCCCACGAATTCGATCTGATTTCGGTGTAGAATATCATTCATTTGATGAAACCCTAAGAAAACTTTAGGCTCACCCATTTTGGAGATACTGCGCCAGAAAGACAACAAAGGATCCACTTTTAGCGAGAAACTAAGTGAAGGAGCATAAGACTAGTGGAGACTTAAAGACCCACGTCGTCATTCTAGAACCAGAACACCGCAATTGAGCATCGTAAATTCAAAAAACCCTAATACCAAATCATCAATTCGTCCGAAGACGAGACATAAATTTCACAGATGAGCTCAAAAGCGACACCTGGATTTCGCGTTCGCCAGCTCCCGCCTCCGTCTCGGTGACCTCAGTCTCTCCAGACGCAAACGCTACGAAACTGAGGAGGAGGAGAGAATTCCCAGAATCAAAACGGAGAGGAGAGGAAGAAGAAGAAGAAGTCCGGCGAGAGAGCGAAACTCTGCCGACGGCGTCGGAGATTCTTCCACCGCCGAAGGAGACGCAGAAGGGTTTGGAGGGTACGGCATATGGGGGCGTGAAGCGGCGGAGGGCAGAGGTGAAACGACGGCGTTTTGAGGAGATCGGCCATGGAGTTCGAAGAGGAGAGCGTCGGAGAGGGATAACTGAGGTGAGACGGAGACAGTTCCCGTCGGGAGTTCACTCCAACGTTTTACGTCTTCCATGATGTTTGATTTCTGGCCGTTGGATGCGGTTCCTCTAGTATGTCGAATCGGACGGTTATAATTTGGCCGAAGCATGACAGTTGCTGAAAACACTTGTTTGGAACCGAATTGTATTGGTTTGGCCTGGTTTAAAATCAAATTAAACTCTTCAACCGAATCAAACCAATGGTATATTATTATTATTTTAAATCAAATTGGAATATGCATAAAAAAAATTATATCCTAAGAAATGACTATTATGATAACAAACATTTCTTAAAGATACAAAAAGAAGGTTTCTGAACTCTCATCATCAAGTGGTCAGATTTGTCGGAGTAGAACTCTGCAATGTCAACTTCTTGCCAATGTTTGGATGAACACTGCACATATTTACATTGAAACACTCAAAAGCTGTTCACTGGATCTTCTTGAAACAGGAGAGATAAGTTTTTTTTAAAAAAGATTTGGTAATACACACCAAAAAAAATGTTTACCTCTGTCTGGAGTGGAGGGTTGTTCGTTTTCCTTGGTTGGGAACTCTCCGGAGCATGTGAATAATGAATCCCATGTGGGCTAATACTACTAGTGTCCCATTTCTTGAACTTCTTTGTGTATTGAACTGAAAAGAGCTGTCGGAATATACCTCTCCCCAAAGCTCGGAAATACGACCTGTGTCATCGGAATAACCCTTGAGTTAAAGATTCGGCTGCCAAATGTAATTTTTGCTGGCTGATACTAAACCTTATACCTCAGTTGTTTGCCAGTAAACACTTGTTGACGAGAATATACTAACTAAATCACCTCATCTTAAGCTGACTTTTTAAAAGCCCAAAATATTACTCACAGTGATGAGTTTCCCTGCATTCTCAGCCCTTTTAGCCAAATTGATGGCTGCAACTGCAGCCGCTCCAGACGAAATCCCTACCTAATACATAAGGACAACAGCAATATGTATTATCTAAAAGGCGCAGGTACTAAGTAAGTGATAACCAAATACGACACTATATAGAACATGGTAAAATAGTAAAATACCAGCAAACCTTCCTCCAATGCTAATCTCCTTGCCATTTCAATTGCTTCTTCGTTGGTTACCTAGCAGTTTGGCGTGGCGGGTACTAATTTCGGTTAGCCTTATCTTATGGAATGGACAGTCACTGTTTCCTAACATGCTTAAATCTCAGTATTCTAACCTTGAAGACTTCATCGAGTACTTTGACATCCAAGATTCCTGGTAAATACCCTGAAAAATGTTTTGTGCTTTTTATGAAGGATGAGGAAGCTGATAAACAGTCAAGCATATCGAATTTGGAAACATAATATGATGATGCCCTTTTACCTGGGTTTTCCCCGGAAATGACACTTCTATCTGCCGGTTCAACGCCTACTACCTAAGTTTGCAAGAACGCACAGACAAAGAAATCAACATAACGTTGACCATAACTATAACAGTCGTATACCAAGAGAGCACAAGTCTGTATTTCTTTCACAAATCATATGCCATGTCCACCAAAATGACAAACATAATAGGTTTGATATTGACAGATTTAAGCATCCTTCAGTAAAGGAACTAAAAAAAGGATAAACAAGCAAATTGAGAACAAGAGCGGACACCTTAATATCCTTGTTCATCATCTTTAAGAAACCTCCAGTGCCTGTGACTGTACCACCAGTACCAATTCCAGCAACAAACATATCCACATTACCCATCGTATCTTCCCAGATTTCTGGTCCTGTCGTCTCAAAATGGACCTGCAAAACAACAAAAGAGAAACTTCACAACAGTAGAAATCTTCATTCAGAGACAGACTAATGTTTAATAAAGAGTAAAAAGCTAGATAATTTAAAGTTATAAACCTTTGTGTTAGCCGGATTGTCAAACTGCTGAAACATATACGCATTCCTAGTCTTAAGAACAATCTCTTTGGCCTTATCCACTGCCCCTCGCACACCTTTCTCAGGATTTGTCAGTACAATGTCCGCTCCAAGTGCACGTAAAAGTATCCTTCTTTCAACATTTATGGAAGATGGCATGGTGACTATAAGCTTGTACCCCTTGGCTGCTGCCACGAAAGCAATCCCGAGCCCTGTGTTTCCAGTTGTTGGTTCTACTATTACGGTCTGCTTGGTCATATCGTCAACAACCCCATATCACCAAATAAGCAATCAAAAAATGTCAGAACCCAATAAGCCTAAGGAACGGAACATGGAAAAGCATATGAGTAACAACCTTTCCAGGGCTGATGGCTCCAGTTTCTTCTGCCTCAGTTATCATGCTCAGGCCGATCCTGCGACAAGGAACACAGATGAATTGGAATGAAATGTTTAACTTCGGAAACTAGACAGGGGAACATGTACGTTGAGTCAGCATTCAACCATAAGACCGAACCCACATATCAGTAACAAAACATCAAAAGCTACTCCTCGAAACTAGAAAGTGAAAAACTTTCATAGGAATAATAAAGGCAGCGACTTTGTCCCTCACCGGTCCTTGACGCTTCGACAGGGTTCCATGGATTCAAGCTTAGCAGCAATGTCCGCAACACATCCATCTGTGACTTTGTTAAGATACACCATCGGCGTTCTCCCAATCAACTACACTCCAAAGGATCAAAATCAACGAAATTCGAAATCCAAATCAACCAATTTACAACAAAACAACACTAAATGGGTCTTTGGCGTTGAACTAAGCTTGAAGTGAAACGAATCATTTCTCGCATATTACAGAGTTCACTTCGTAACCTCGAAGAATATACCCGGACACTAATAAGGTTTTGGGGCTCCCGAGAGTTTCGTGGGTGGCAAAGGTACGCAATTTCGAGGAAATTCACGGCGAGGAAACTCACTTGAGTGACATCTTCGGCAATGTTGACAGTTTCCAGCTCTTCTTGAACTTCTTCGAGAGTCTCTTCATCTTCTGCGATTACGTCTTCCAAAACGGTAGCGATGAGCGGAGGAGCTTCCCCTTTCGACTTCGACTTCGACCTCGTCCCGGCGGCAGACTTTGCGACGACGGAGAGGGAAGCCGCTGAATATCCGGCGAAGGAAGATCGAAGGTCATTGTCGAACGCAAAACGCATCCGTTTTGGGGGTAAGACACGGACGGAGTGCAGGTGAAGAAGTCGGAGGGAAGGCGACGGGAGTGCCATTTTCTCCGTCGACGTGGTTTTAGGGATTAGGTTTTCACTTGTTTTGTCTTTGAATTTATTCTCATTCTAAAATTGTAATTTTAATTTATTTTCGGCATAAATGCCAATAAAATGCTTGTTTGTATATAACTATATATATATATGCTCAGAAACATTACAAAACCCCCTAAATTCGGTTGGAAGCTTGGATCATCTAGAAATTAAAAATACTATTTTCCATATATATATAAAGAAGATATTACTCTTCCCTCCGATAATTAAAAAAAAATATAGAAAAATGTGGATACTAGAAAATCGATGATTTAAAAAAAGATGAAAAAATCGTCCACCGAATGGATTAACAGAAACAAAAAAAATCTAAATTTTAATAGCAATTTGATTTAACAACACCAAAATGATATACCTATATCATTATTATTTATTACAAGTTGTTTTCAATATCATGAGGAGGAAGACCTAGAGAAGCGTTGATGTCTATGAACCTTCATCCGGACAAGAGGAAGCTTCCTCCGCACGGCACTCCATATCATCTGAACCCCGTCCCCTTCCCTCCCCGGAAACCCTAATTCGAAATGCCTCTCCACCTCCTTCAGCCTCCCCCACATCCTCCTCCACTCCTCCCTCCCCACGCTCCTCACCATGTTTACCAAAAACCCCTTCCTCAGAGCCTGCGACGTCCTCGCGAACAGACAGAACTCGTTGTAGTTCAGCACGTCCTCGTACGGCAGCTCGATCTTCTCGCTTATGATCACCGGCACGCAGTGGCTGGCGATGGCGTCGAAGAGGCGGTTCGATGAGGGCGTGTCTCCGGCTATATTCAGACAGAACTTCGATCCTCTCATCCCTTCTCCCGCTTTGCTTACTCCGTGGTTCCGTACGCTCCCGAACTCAAAGTGTACGTCTTTCTCGTCTTTCAGAAGGTAATACAGCTCTTGCCTTACGAATCCTCCCTGCCCAGATGCCCAAACGAACCGGGTCAGGACAGAATACATGTATACATACTCCAGTTCTGGAACCAAGTACGAGGAGAAAAAGCTTACATCTTTACGGTATATTGCTCCTTGGAAGTATAGCAAGACAGGACGGCTATCGAAATCCGACGTATCGTTAACGTATGACCTGACGAGATGTTTATATGGAGCGACGACGTCTTTTTCGACGTTGGCTATGCGTAGAGGGTACCTCCCGAAATCCGCAAGTATGAAAATTGCAGGCGAAAGCTTGAGCCGAGCGGTCAACATGCTGTTCGGATGGTGAGCCACTATTACATGATTGCTCCCTCCTGATATCTTCCACTCTCTCTGCGCCGTCACGAACTTCACCGTCTTCTCCTGCTTTCCGGGTTCGGACCAGAATTCAGGAATACGGATTTGATGATAACGTTTAAGAACGATGTTTGGTTTACATTTTGTACGTGTACCTGCAATTCCTTGTCCATGTTCTTCCTCTGCCTGTGATTCACCTTAGAAAGCCGGTTATAGCTCAAAGACGAAAAGAACGGGACGAATATCACATCGGCTTCGCTCGAGTTCTTCACTCTAATCGCCTCCCGGTGACTTCTAGAAGCTTCTGGAAGCTCTGAGGACAACAGATCCAGCGTGAGCCAGTACTCGACACTGTGTTGCAAGTTCAGACCACCTGGGTACCGAGGAACATTATCAGCCCTGATGTCCGGCCAAACGACGCCGTCTCTCTCCGGTTTCCAGTTCAGTAACCCGAAGTGAAACGACGGATCCATGTCGTACATGTACACTTTCAGCGGCTCTGCCAGTGGAGGAACCTTCCCCTTGCATTGGAGGGTTTTGTCCTTGACGTTTGATCTCTCTGTTCCTCTCTGTTCTCCTTCGTTCTGCATCGTCGAACCGTTCGAAACGTCGTTGATTTGGGGGAGGAGCGTGGGTTCAGGTACGGAGACGTAAGCAAGAACGCGGTTTTGGTTCGTGGAACGCAAGATGAAGAACCAAGAGAGGATGAACAGAATCGATATGAACAAGAAGATTACGGATTTTCGGGCGATGATGAATCCAAGATACGTCGGGTTTGATCTCTCGCCCATTTCGGATCACTACTGAAACGAGAGATTGATCAGAGATGTCGCGAGGAACATCGGGAACAAAACTGGTCATGTGACGACGAGTCTAAGGGTTCTGGTCGTAGAATTCAATACCCAGAAACCAGAATCAGAGTTACCAAACAAGAGAAACAGAAGCATAGAGTGTGAGTTATGATCTACAGTGGAATCATGAAATAGAAAGATGGAGAATACGCGAGAGAGAGAGAAAAGAGAAGATGATACAATGAAGAGGCTGTATACCCAGAAACCCTACTGAGAAAAAAAACCGAGAAAGTAAAAAGAACAAGCAGAGAACAGACTGGGAAATGGAAGATTTTCTCGGAAAATTATAAGAATGATGAGAAAATTTCGTACCGGTAGTAGATAAGAAACGATGAAAACACCGATGCGAGTTTAGTTGCTCAATGCAATACGCACACAGTCTCTCTCTCTCTCTCTCTCTCTCTCTCTCTCTCTCTCTGTGAAACTGAAGAAGTCGCATGAAAACAGGGCCTATCTTTGGTCTTTTGACGTGGGCACCAAATAAAGAATGTTAAACAGTAAAACCCGATTTGAGATTTCGATATATATTATTGATTATTCCAAAAAATAATAATTGATTACTATATATTGAACGATTGGACCGTCCTCTCGATGATATAAAACGAGATATAACCACAATTTTTTTTATTACAATAATGGGATAAGAATTAACATCGTTGTTGCTTTGTCAACGCTTTTACGTGCGGTGACAACTGACGAAACTTGAAATCATATTACAAAGTTGCGTACTGCCTAATCAGTTGAAATTATATCAATACTAAATTACACACAGAGACAAGACGACGTGGCACGCAGTTTCTGAGATCCGAGGACTAGGGAAGTGAGCTAAAAACCTTGACCAATTCTATAACCGGTTCGGTTCTCGAATTCATTAATCGTACCAAACCGAACTAAACTCGGTTTAAGAACTCCAAATGCGGTCCAATTGACCAGCGAACTCGTCTCCTCTTGCGACGATCAACGATTCATGATCGGCTCCAGTGATGACGTGGACTTGGACCGCCGGAAACTTTATCTTCACGTCATCGGAGCAATGCAGAGGGACGATTCTGTCACGATCTCCATGCAGGAGGAAGATATTGACGCCGGAGTTTGTTAGGGTTTGGAGATGTTTGTCGGCGAATTTGGACCCACCGCATATGACGTTGTGCATGGTGTGCCATGCTGAATGATGGGTATGCTTCGTTATGTCGTTGATCTTCCATGGAACCTCCCTAACAATTTCACAAAAGTTTTCAAGATGTTCAGAATATCAACAGATAGGGGTGAACACGGCTCTAATAACCGAGATTTTCGGGTTACGTGAATGCAACTCTAAACCGAAATTCCCACTAAATAATACCCAAATCTAAATTCTGTTACCAGAAAATTGGGTATCCGGAAATAATTCTCGGATATCTGAAATTCAAAGACAAAATTTTGACAAAAAGGCAATATACATTGTATGCAAACTATATAATTAATACATGTGTCGGATACCTGATTGCGGGTCATCTCGAGTATCCGAATTCCGAGTTTTTTCGGCCACCCCTATCGGTATATATATATAGTTAGGGTAAACCCCCTAAAAAACCTCCAACTTGCAAAAATATATACAAATAAAATTTCTACTTGAAAAACTGTCATTCAATCTCCGAACTTGTAACTTGTCACTGAATAAAACCTCGAACTTGCAAATTATTGTTCTAATAAACCTTTGACCGGTTTGACCATAATTTCAAACGATCAGAAATCCACGTATTGACGGATTGCTGATGTCATTTTTTAAATTAAAATTGATAACGTGTATAAGGTGACATCAGCAATCCGTTAATACGTAGATTTTCGATCACCTGAGATTGTGGTCAAACCGGTCAAAGATTTATTAGAGCAATAATTTGCAAGTTCGAGGTTTTATTCAGTAAAAAATTACAAGTTCGGGGATTGAATGATAGTTTTTCAAGTTGAAGGTTTATTTGTATATGTTTTTGCAAGTTGAAGGTTTTTTAGGGGTTTTACCCATATAGTTATGTGTTGAGTAAAGTGTATACCTTTTGAATGTCAGAAGTTTGAAGAGCCACTCCCATGTCTCGTGATGCTTGCAGACGACGAAGCAGACACATCGACCGACATGTTCGTACCACGACATGACCGCCGAACCAAACGCCATTGGAGGCCACAGTTTCTTACCCGCGAGTACGTTTAATGCAACTAAACTCGATCCCGAAACAATATAAGGCTGAAAATAAAAAATGATACGACACTTTCAAGTACACACAATACAAGATTCTACCACAAACAGAATTTTGAGACACCACTAACTCACCGGTGCAACGAGGGTGACCGACTTGACAATGCCGGAATGTTTAGCGGATAAGGCAAGGGCAATGATGCAACCCATCGAATGCGCAACCACGTGAAATGAATCCAATTGGTACTCTCCAATAACCGATGTCTCGATCTTCTCTACATGATCTCTCACTGTATAGAGACTCTCTCTCGGCTTTGGGCTTCTTCCGAACCCTAGGAGATCGACTGCGAATAGCCTGTAATGGTCTTTGCTTATGTGCTTGAACACGGTTTCTGTCCAGAAGTAGGATGATCCCATGAAACCATGTATGAAGATCACGTTCTCTGTTGATTTCTCGCTGTCGTCTTCTGTAGTTGACAAGGAAATGGCAAAGATTAACGAAAATCATTGCGCAACACATGTAAACTTAACAAAGAACAAAAACTGGTCTGAATTATCACCTCTGGAAGAAGAAGAAGAAGAAGAAGAAGAAGAAGAAGAAGAAGAAGAAGAAGAAGAAGAAGAAGAAGAAGAAGAAGTCTTGACCGCGACATGAAGATTCTCGTCTCCGTTCTTCACCCACGAAACACAGGTTTCACATCCACAATCCGACCATCTGTTCACCGACGCAGGATTTTTCCCGGAAAACGGGGATTTTCCCGGGAATCCACCGATTTTCCAGGAAAGCTTGAACCTTTCCAGGAACGGAGAAGACCCCATTTCCCGGAACACGTTTTTTCTCCGAAACAGAGTCTCCGACAACTCATCTTCGCCGACACGACGAGCCCTACAGTAACAGCTACAAGGTTTTGCCTCCAAAGATCCGTCGAGGAACTCGTAGAAAACGCAGAGAATCGCGTCGAGAAGATCGAAGAAGAGGAAAACGACGAACGATAGGACAGAGTGGAGGGCTGCGGCGCTTTTTCCCATCCATTTTCTCGGGAAAATTGTGACGGACGACATCGGAGAGAGAATCCTGACGGGCGTGAAAACTAGCGAAGAACGTTAGGCCACGTCGGAACTCAGAATAGACATCTTTAGAAGTTTGGAATTATATCATTTTCTTTCTCGCGTTATCAGAAGAATTTAAATTTAATGAAGATACCCTGTTGAAATACTCGAGAAAAATGATACGGCGTCGTCTCGACGGTCCAATCAAAAGTTATGGAAGCACAGACTTCGAGACAATAATATATTATTTATTATAATATTGATTCTGCAAAAAACTATACCCCCACAAAAATGTGAGGTTCATTGTCCAGCTACGACACAAGGATCAAGTAGTCTCCGGTCACCGGGGAATCGGAATCGGAGTCGGTGGCCGGAGAATTTATCCGGCGTTGTTGAGATGCCAATCCAGTCTATTAAGGAAGAAAGCCCAATAAGGACATTCCCGGCTAATGGGCCCACAAAAGCCCATTATCTGTCAAAGAACAAAGCCCAATAAGTCCATAGTCAAGAGCTTGCACTCGATACTTTCTATCTGGGCCGGATCAACCGTTGGGTCAGGCTCTGAATCGTATGGTCCTACAAATTAAAAGAAAATGATTTATTTTTTGTAGATTGTTTTTCTTACTTTTAAAATTATTCACATTTTTCCCTGAATTTCAATCGATTATCTTATCATCCCTTAACTGTGTAAAATATGTTCAAAAATGATATATAACTATAATAATTTAGGATTATTTACCTCTAGAACCCATGCACGAGACAATTAATACAATTATATGGTAGTTTTTTTTTTCAATTTACATGTAGATGCAACAATCAATGAAATATATTATGAACTATATATATATGTTCAATTCCTCTTAAATATAAGTATGTATGTATGTATGTATGTATGTATGTATGTATGTATGTATGTATGTATGTATGTATGTATGTATGTATGTATGTATGTATGTTTGTATGTATGTATGTATGTTGTGAAACAAACATCATGCCTCTCATGGGCCATGGGTAGTCGTTTTCCTCTGGAGAAGACCACAAAGCACCTCTCTCTCTCTCTCTCTCTCTCTCTAGAGTATGTGGGTTTGTGTCGGAAGCAGACAAGATAGATTCTGTTGTTTTTCCCCGTAACGCACACACGTTCAACGTTAAAAGAATCCACGCGATCTTCAATACTATGCATAACGTATCGAAGTGTTTCGACTTTCGAGTTCACAACTGCTCTCTCTCTCTCCATATGTATATGTATATCTGTGTAAGTGAAGAAGATATAGAGAGAGAAGATATCAGTCGAGGCACACGTGCGGGTCTCGAACTCCATGCACAAGAAAGTAACAAACACCACCGACTTTTCAAGCCTCACCTGCTCAGTGTGCACGTGTAGATTGAGGCCTCATTACTCCACAACTGAGTAACCTTTCTTTGCTTTTATTACCAAGCGAGTCACATATTTCTTCCCATTTTTTATATATAAAAAAATTGATCACTTGAGTAAATTAATTTCGGGATTTTTTTTTTGTATGGGATTGTTAGATTCATAATTTGATTAATTCTAGATACGTATAATAAACCTCAACTACTCGATTAAAATCCCTCTCTTTTTGCACGAATCAAACATTTTATTTTATTTTATTTTTATAAATTATACGTCTAACTGACATCTTCATCTTTCCACCATACAGTGAAAGGCCCCTCCTTTTGAAAACCTCTCTCTCTCTCTCTTTTTCACAGTTCTTGTTTCTCTCTCATCCTTCTCTCAGTAAAAAAAGAAAAATGAACCTAAAGCTCCATGGGAAAGATCTCAGCAGCAACATCGTCAATGGGTCGTCGACAAGATTCGAGGAACAAAACTTGGTGACTCCGACATGTGATCCATCACATTACTCTCTCACCAAACTTTCTCTCTCTAGAAACTGCGTCCAAAACACAAGCGATGATCAACCGATAAGCAAGATCTCATCATCAGCCTTCGAGTTCGGTGTCGGTGATGATGAATTACAAAAGGAGAGCAAGAGAAAGATGAAGGGAACAAAGAGAAAAGTATGCGCGAGAGGACATTGGAAACCGTCTGAAGATTCCAAGCTCAAGGAGCTCGTTTCCCAGTTTGGTCCCCAGAACTGGAACTTGATTGCTCGACACCTTGTCGGTAGATCAGGTACTTCCTCTTTTTCTTTTTAAATTATTTTTATATATCTATCAATTTCTGTTCTTTAATGGATTCTTAACTCGCAATGTATTTCAAATGGGTAAAAAACGAATTCCTTGTGGTTCAAAGTATATTTCATTTCTATCTCCTACAAAAAATATTTTCTAATGGTGGTTTTTCGTTTTCATATAACGTGAAATTTTTATATTATTATATTGTAAGTCGGTTATTCCTCAGTGGATTTTATAATAGTCATCTCGATATACTAAATACATTGACACGCGCACACACACATATATATCTATATACAGTTTCTACCTAGAAATCATATGCCATGAAATCAACTCTTGAATACTCTCGTTAAAGATATTTGGTATATGTAACAAGACAACTTTTAGTTAGAGATTAGATTTTTGCATGAAACTCTAGTACGGACCCCGATTTCCTACCCAACAAAAAACGTGCAGACTCGTACTCCATCGAGGGTACACTTTCATTAATTTCATACAGAGTGGATCATTGATATATCGTGCGTTGCAATCAATGTACGTTTGGGACGAATCGAACAGGCAAAAGCTGTAGATTGAGATGGTTCAACCAACTGGATCCGAGGATAAACAAGAGGGCCTTCACGGAGGAAGAAGGAGAGAGGCTCGTGTCGGCCCACAGAGTGTTCGGAAACAAGTGGGCGATGATCGCCAGGCTCTTCCCCGGCCGGACCGACAACGCCGTCAAGAACCACTGGCACGTCATCATGGCCCGCAAGCTCCGGGAGCAGCACCACTCCTCCGCCGGGAGAGATGAGATGACGGTTTTGCCCTCGGCTGGGCCTTGCTCTTTGGATATCGGCGAGGGCAAGGAATCGATGAGCGCGAGCAATGAGGACGAGTCCGCGGCTTCTACTTGTACCACTGATCTCTCTCTCACGCCTCCCGCTTCAGACAATGGCCTCGCTCCACGTAAGTTTTTGGTGATAATATAGATAATATATTTTTATTCATAAAAAATTAATTAACACCATTTATTTATAGAATCATATGAAGGATTTATATTAATTGTTGTAAAATATAATATATATATATACCTTTGCGCGTAAATAACCAGCATACTTCTCCTGTTACATGTTTTCCAAACACGGAAACTATTCTACGTGTAAATACTTAAATATATTGTTTATAATAATAACAATAATAATTATATAATCCATTATCACTGTCATGTTTTACTATTTAGATACAGAAAAGATTCACGTGGGCAAATGTTGCAGGCGGAGATCAGTGGGGGCAGAGAAGAGAAGGAAAAGGGAACTTTGGGAAATGGATGGACCATCAAAATCAAAGTCACGGACACGAGGTGGGTCATCATCGGTCGTCAGATTCTTCGGATTCAGCTGTTTTTGCTGCCGAGATGAAGACGAACCCTAATTACAAGATTAGTGGCCTTCTCTTTTTTGATTTTCTTGGAGTTGGTGCTTCTCCTAATTAGGTTTCAAGAACCCCCCCCCCCCCCCATTAAAAAAAAAGGGTAAAAGGGTTTGTTTTTTTTCAATCTTTTTTT